TTAATCACAGTTCTCTGTTCAGTAAGAAAGGAAATGAATTCTTTGTATTCCCACCTTACCCTCAACGTAATGCTCCCAATGCATTAGGTAGTAAGCTCACCCCTATTATAAATACACATATCTTTAACAAATAAACGAAAACAGAATTTTGAAAGAAATAGACGTAACGTCTTTCAACAAAAGTCTTTCCCCATTTTCCTTGCCTTTAAAGCAAGATTCATAAGGTAAATAGTCATATCCATTTCATTCATGCTAATCCCCAAAATTATTCCGGATATCATAACTATTTGATTCAAGCAAAAGATGGATAAAATGTATTTTCATAAGTTACTATAAAACGTCTATGTTATACATAGGTTCCTTCAAATTTGCGATGGCGCAATTAAATCCAAATATGGTTGTGAAGCACTTATCGGGGATCCTTGTTTTTGAGGTCCATTCCTAGGGCAAGAGTAAACTGTCTTTAGAAGTTTGAGGATCTTTGAAATCAAATGAATAAATTAATATGCGAACCTTTTGACATAGGTGAGAGCAAGTGATAATGCACACACGCCGCACCCGCACTTTCACCAAATATAGTTATGTTGTTGGAGTCGCCCCCAAACGCTGCAATGTTGTCCTTCAACCATCGAAGTGCAGCAACTTGGTCCTTGAGACCCAAATTATCGGGGTGCCTTTCATCTTCAACACTCAGAAAACCTCAACAGAACAAAAATTATTAATTATTGGAATTCTGATGTGGTATTGTGGACGTAATTACATGAAGAAATAATGTAAGTTATCTCCGTCAACTTAATAGGAGGTTATAATATAATATTAAGTTGTACTAATAATAAAATATATTTAAGTTGATGGAGATGACTTCCATTATTTCTTCATATAAATTATTAGTTTGTGAAATGCTTTGAACTCTATTACTATAACTGACACCTAAATTCGTTATTTAGTAGATCATTGTACATACCAAAAGCGCCCAGTCTGTAATTTATTGTTACGATGACGACGTCTTCTTTGACCATGTACTCCGCACTGAGCATATCCCCACTACCTACCAGAAATCCCCCTCCGTGTATCCACACCATCACTGGATATTTATTTTCGTTTGGGTCTGGCAGCTACAAAATGCGATAGTATTAATCGAGATGGAGAAAATATTTCATGGAAAATTGTCATCAAAACAAAGCACTTACCTTCGGAGTGTAGACGTTTAAATACAAACAGTCCTCGTCACCGCGGTAAGAAGTCTTCAAGAATGCGTCTATTTGAGGACACGCAGGCCCTACTTTGAGGGCATTCCTAACTCCAGTCCATGCATTTGGAGGATGGGCTACCTACAAGACCAGAATCAGATGAAGCATTTATTCTCCAGATGAAGTTATAATTTTTTTAAAGATCTTTGTTGCCTTTATAAACAAGAATATTAAATATGGAACCCAGGGTAATTGTCTGTGTTCTTTAAGATATTTCATAGAATAACTTTAACATTAAACGAACGAAACGGACAAAAATGTACAAAAGTGATTTACATCATTAAATTACAATTTTAAAAATAAAAGTATGTTGTAGTAAAAACACTTGTATGTACATTAAATATTCAAATTTGGAAAACTCATTTACATAGTAATACCAATTTACGTAGTAATAACAATTACTGTTTATGTAAAAAAATCTTCAAAAATTACAACTTAAATCAATTTATTGTCTTATTCATTAAACGTTTAGACATATATAACTATTGTTTGGGGTTTTGTTCAGGAAGATAGCGTTTAGATTGAAATTATATATAGGGGAATCTGTCGTACCTAGGGACACTTTTAATGTTTTAAATTTTCCTCTCTTGTTTTGGATGTGAAATTGTTGATTTTCATTTTTTAATGAAACATATCAAGCATATTTACGTGTAATTGTAATATTTTAAGAACATTCTTTATAATTATCTTTTAGATAATTTGTTTCTGATCCATATGTCGCTAGGTAAATCTTACTGATGTACTTGGAACAATGTAGGAAAAGAGACACAGATCAACGGTATATTCTTCTTTTTTAGAATATCAAACTAACATTTACTTATAAAGGATATTAAATATAGATTAAAGTAAATAGTGCGTAAAGGAAAAAATTAATGTTTGATACCTTTAATTACAAACAGAGTAGTTCTGGGGCATGTTCTGTCCTCTTTGTCAACATCATAGGATATAACAAAAGCATTGTTTGAACAAGAAATGACTTCAACCTAGATTATAACTTGTAAAGGACACAAGAAAAACAAATTTTTGATGCCTTTGAATTCAACCAGCACAGATGTATCAGAAAGCTTAACTTTCAAGTCCTCCATGTTAACTTATATGTTTCAGAACCTTTATCAATTTTGAATGAGTGAATCTGAATGAGTGAATCATTATATGTGCATTAATTAAATATTGCCTAATAAAATGTTCATGTTCGTCCTTTTATATAACTGAAATATTGCTGAAGTGGTTGAGACCATTTGTAGTGTCCTTTGCTTCGTGGCATAGCCAGATTACATCCTGAAAACAATTGAATACTACACTTACGTATTTAGGTTCGTCCGTAGATACAACAATCATGAATGAATATGGCTGTTATTAATTGTAGGTAAGAAGTATTCACCTTAAAATAACTACATTCTATGCTATTAAGTGTATGCCTACTTCAATTTTCGTAAAGTAATAGTAGTTATTACAAAATTTCTGAAAGAGAAATAGCATACATTTTTACTTTTCACTTGTCAAATCTATAAACTTTAATAAAATTACTGACACAGCTCATTTTAAAAAAATCGTTCACTTGAATAAACGCAAATGGCAACATGTAAGGAAAATAAAAATCTGAAATTTCTCTTACAGACTGCCCGAAAACATGCTTTGTCCCTAGATACGACAGTTTCCCCCCCATTTTTAAAATTAGATCGTTAGCGACATTTTAAATGGTTGTAATTTTTTCTTTACTGAATTTCACATGGATGTACTATAACGTTTACCCTTAATATGATTTCGATTTATTAATAATTCTGCAATTAAGTGTGAGAACTTGGGTGGCAGAAATACACTACACTTAACATTACAGAACTTAACAACTATACAAACTCTATAAACGTTTACAAAATCACAATGAACATTTCACCGTGCCAATCTTTTCATAGAACTCCACCTTCACCAAACTTTCACTTCACCACACTCTCACCGTCCACCTTGTTTTGATTTGATACAGCGAGCTCAATGTTTCTTTCTTATCACTTCGTTTCTCTCAGTTTCACAACGGTCACTGCACTTCGCGCCACTACACTACACAATATAATAAATAATAATAATAACAATAATACTTCATTACAAAGAAGACATAGTTAATTACACTGGATTTTATTAAATATATTTATAACACATATCTACATTCAACTCATTTCACATAGTAGTTAAAGGAATGAGACATGGCTAGGACCTGTTGTGAAAGACCTTCCATATCCAAACACTGAAGGGAAACTTATCCAATCTAATCAATAAGAAAAAACACAAAATTAATATTTTGTAAATCTCAAGGGGAATCTAATTCTAAGGAAGTTAGATTATGGACTTTAAGAGTGTTATCAATATATTAGGTGTGTTTTTGATATTACAAATATATAACATTTCTGCTATTTGCTACTTATAATAATTATTTCCCTATTCCCACATTTTCCCAAACAAACTCATGATTAGTGTTCAGTCTGTGTTTAAACAAAGATTATGCCGAGTTCGGGAAAGTTGATGTTTTTTCTTGTGCTCTATAATTCTAATTTGAACGCCCTCTTTACGTACCTACACAATTAGCATTACTGCCCGGTTGTTTATATAAAATTGAGTAGATAATTTGTCTTAATTCTTTGGATCCCTTTTCCTTCTGATGTATCTAATTAGTTCATTATCTATTTTGAAGACAGTTTTCTGTTCATATTATTTAATTATGTTAAAATTTTATTTGGTGTTCCTGAATTGTACGGTATCGATAGTAATTCAGTGGGGGCTATGGAGGAGGAACTATTGATAGATTATATGACTGTGTTTTCTGAGTAAAACACTACTCTAGTTAATAAAAATGGAATTCAAATGGAACTGTTATAGCCTCCGCCCCAGAAAGGCATTGAAGATAATGAAAAAGCAGATATGGCTACTAAATCTGCAATATCACGTCTTTTCGAAAATCACTTAAAGGCGCACTGATGTTTAAAGAGAGTTTAATGGTCTCATTGTTAGACATTGGAACTCACACTCTGGAAGCCCAACGTGTCTACATCATCTAGTTAGAAAATCAGTCACAGAACCTTTCTCAAAATTCAACATCAGCAGAAGTCACCAGGTCATCCTCGCTAGATTAAGGATGGGACATTTTAATCTTAAACATGGTCACCTCATGGCGAAAACCAATCCTATACCAATGTGTGGAAATATAATATCAACCCCACACCTCCTAGAATGCTCAGGTAAGCAAATAAAAGACATCAATTAAATTTGAATAAAGATATGTGCAAGATTTTCAAAACGGTAGAAGCAGATAAAAATATGACAACTCTACTCAAAATTTATCCTTTTAGGCTTAAATATATAACTCTAACTCTGCTTGGTGTATTTTTAACAATAAGGGAAATAGCCAAGAAGAAATTGAGAGACGAATAAGCTTAGGGAGAAACGTGACACGAAGTATAAACTCTGACTTATAGAACAAAACCATCACTAACACTACGAAAAGACGTCTTTACTCCTCGCTAGTTAAGAATGTTACAACATACGGTTCAGAAGTTTGGGATATTGATAAAAGAACAAAAGAGTAACTGCTGGCCCTAGAAATGGACTTCTGGGGCGTTGAAGTTGCTGTTATAGCAGACGTGAGAGAATCAGGAACGACGACATAAGAAAGAAAATGGATGTAAAGAAATCTATCCTTGACGAAATAGAGAAAAAACAAATCGTCTGGTACGGTCATGTTATGCGAATGACAGACGAAAGATGGTCAAAACGAACCCTGAAATGGGTGCCGACAGAAAGACAGAAGAGAGGAAGACCCAGACTTTCATGGCAGTAGGGAGTGCAAGAGGCTATGACGGCAAGAGAAAAGCAAGATGATCTATGGTCCAATAGAGAGGCATGGAGACTGAGAGCAGAGAAACGGTGACAGCTGTTTATATATATATATATATATATATATATATATATATATATACTGTTACATAAATAAATGTAAACTAGACGTGCTACAACAGTGCATACTTTCTCACACTATTGGATATAGTTATGTAATATTGAAATATCAAATTCATCCCTACTAGCACGGAGGAAGTAATAATACAAAGGAACAAGATTTATTCATTTTTTCGTAACCAGGGCCCTGCAATAAGAGTTTTTCTGTCGAAAATTGCCTTTTTCCCCCTCGCAGCATTACAATGCTTTCTTTGTACTGTGTAAGCAATAGCGATTAGGTAAAATTTGTAGGAGATATTGCCGACTTCCTTAGTACCTCAAAGATTGTAAAGATTAAATCTCATTGCGAGCAATACTGACCTTAAACCGCAGGGGTCCAACTGGCGGCTGGGCATAAGGAATTCCTTCGAAGCTGAAAAAACCGTTGCCGGCCTTTGCGGTTATTTTCTTTCCACAGAGAATACCTTGGGCCACTGAAACAGTCACCAGTTCTTCGGCCATTTTCCGTATTTGGTTGGCAGCACGAACTTTACACGATTGCTTTGCGGGTTGGTTATCATTCGGAGGTACTCTACTACACGAACAGAAATCTGTGTAAAGTGGAAGATACAGCTCTTCGGGTACTTTGTAAACAAACCTTGGTACGTTATCACGTGTAATAACACGCGTGAAAAGATGTAATTCTTTGTAATGCAGGCTGAATGATACTGCGAGATAAAAACGTTTCTGTTGCATATGTTGGAATTGTTTGAGAAATAAATTACTCAAAAGTGAAGGAACTGTGCAAGCTCGCATGACACACCTTTTGCAGTAAGCGAAATATTGAAAGTCACCGGTACTGATTTAGACTGAAATTTTAGTCTTAAAGAGGAACAATATTTTCATAACAAGGTGCCTAATTTCTTCAGATTTTTATTAACTATTTGTGTGTTGCAAGTTACAAGGAAGTAGATTAAATAAATATAAAAAATTAAGTAGATGATACAGCAGTAGATGATACAGAAGTTTTCAGTAGATGATACAGCAAACAGATCCAGATGCTTTTCACATCTATGGGGAATGTTACTGATGCTGTCGCCATGAGCTCTGTTTCTTATTTTCTGTAATTAGAAATGCTTATTCAATGAAATGTAGCAAAAGAAATAAAATCAGTGAAGAATTTCCAAATATTTCTGTATTGCTGGTTTGTGGGACGCAGACATTGGTTGCCCAGGAAACACATTCTGTAGACCAGTAAAAAATATTGCTTTCCCACTCATTGGAGCATCTTTCTTTTACAATGTCTCTCGGTAAAAGATATTTCGGTCAATCGTTGCAGCTGATATCGTCAGTACTTTATCAAGAACAATATCATATTCTTTATGCAATTGCTTATCCTATTCAACCTTAGAACACATAATTTTTTTACTAAATTGGCCACAGATGAGACGCAGAACGCAGACGAGAACGCAGTTTCAACTTCTGTTTTACACGGCTTTTTAATTGATCACGACGTATTAGCGCGAAATATAGAGGAAAATGTACACAATATCATTACGCGGTATTGCTGCGCTTCTCATATTGAGATTAATAATCACATTGTTTGCATATTGATATTGTTTTCGAACCATAAAAATAAAGCATTCATATATTGTATTACTTCCTCCGAAATTTGGAGTTAATAACCAATCGAGTAAAATATTTCGCAGTCTTGTTTAGACGCTAATTTTTTCAAAACTGTATCCCAATAACGGAATTATATTGTAGAAAAACAGTCATCCTTTCATTCGGAATTCGCATTCGCTTTTCTTGTCCCTGAAAGTAAATGCCCTACGCTGAATCCTTTCCAGTGCACATTCTATAAACACACCTTCGTTGCAATGCGTGTGTTTACAGGGAGATCATTCACGCATCCTATGAGTCTAAAGGTTCTTAGATATTTTGGGACATGGGGAAACCCTAAGATAGCATTGCCCGCTAGCAGAGTCCACTTGTTTGAAGTTCGAACTGATTTACATTTAACGGTAGATCTTGAAAATATTAAAGAATATTATGGAAGAGTAAAACACCTGTTAATGCGAAATTAAGGTCAGACGGATGGACAGACGGACGAACGGACAGACGGACGAACGGACAGACGGACGAACAGACCGACAGACAGACAAGTGGACGGCCGGACGGACAGATGGACGGACCGACGTTTTGAAGAAATCCACTTTGTAGGGAGGGGACCCCCAAACGTGAATTTCCGTTGAAATTTCGAAATCGATTTTCCGCAGCATTACATACCTTTCTCAACACTACAATTTATTGATTGGTGATTCCGGGCGCGACAATTGCTAAGGTCATTAGTTCCGTAAATGTAGTGCTTGCTTTTCCTCGGGAGGTGGTGGTGGTGATCCTCCGCGGGGTGTTCAGATCCGGCGCCGACCTACACGTCGGCTAGCGCGGTTTTCCCCAAACAGGTATTCCCACCATTCGCTCCAGCTGGGACAAGCTCTAATCTCCCGACTTGTCTTCTGGAATGTTTGGTAGTGCATGTAGATGTAAGTGTGTGTATATAAACAGTGAAGATAGGACAAGGAAAGCGAAGGAAAGATCAATCGCAGTCTGTTAGGGTACCGCTCCGGCATTCGCCTGGTTTTGATCAGAAAAAACTCGGAAAACAACATATCAGAGCAGCCGGTCGCTAGAATTCTCCTCCAGACAGCGACTGAACTCAACCTAGCTATGTAGCTAGTGTCGAAAATCTTGCCTCCGCAGTGACATCAGTTGAGGAGCTACCTCTAAAAACACTTGTGACATCATGAAAACATCATGAATATCATTTGAACGCGTACCAAAAAGAAAATTACTCCAAAAATTCACAGAATAATTCTATAGTCCTGCTCTATTTGTTAAATGATTCAAATAAATCAGATTAATGGATAGAAATCGCGTTTATTGGTTATAATATATTCCAGCGGTATAATCAGTCCAAGAAAGTGATGTAGCCATATGGCTACAGGGGGACTAAAAGGGTTAAAATAGCGAATGTGAACACTGCTAGCGATCACGTGGCGGTCGGGGGCCGCGAAATAGAAGCAGGGGGCCATATTGTGACGAGCCCCCTCCCCCCGCCCAAAAAAGGAAAAAAAAAAATTCTGTCGGTGAAGAGAGAATACATCATGACTTTGAACCGAATAGAATAGACACTAATAGTAGAATTGAAACATCTCTTAAGAATAGTTTAGAAGAGTAAAACAGGGTTCTAAAGCAAATTTTATTTGGAAGATTTAGAGCCAATCTTGAAAAAATATCATTTGGGCATTTCTGAAAATGCACAATTTGAGTGCATTTTCACAGAAAGGTTTAGTTTTTTCAAGACACTTCATCAAAAATCTTTTGAAGCACATGTGCTCACAAATACAATAATGCATAAAATATCCAAAGTAGAGTAAATGTTAATGATGTGAGAGATATTTTTTAAAAAATTGCATTTGCGTAATTTTGAAAAAATCAAAAGAATGAAGGCCTACTGCATGAAAATGGCATTTATGTAATGTCATTCAGAGCCTTTTGCACTATCTATACAAAAAGTATATGGAAAACAATTAGAACAGTTTTTAGAAAACCTTGTTTTTCAATTGCTTTTATTTCACCCAAGATTATGCAAACAGTATTTATATGTTGAAAAAAATTTTGAATTGATCTCTTTTAAAGCTCTACATTTAAAGAACAGATTTTGTTGAGAAGAAAATCCTCTATTTATATCAAGAAAAATCTATTCAATATTGTGGTTCTTGGAAGATGCCGAAAAATTTTAAACTTTTGTAATTTTAAATTTTTGTAATTAAGCAATATTAACCTAAAACAATGTTTTAAGCATTATTTTGTCTGGTATACAAAACAAAAATTAATCCATAAACTAGGAGTTTTTTTGACAAGCCCTTGAGGCTTCTTATAATGTGCCCCCAAAAATTAAAATAATCAAATTCAAGGAGCCCTGGCATCAGCCAGATTGATGGGTGAATAATGGTTATAACCAAGCTTGCGGTTAACTAGTTAGAATTGTTCATGGACAGATAGACGAATATTTTGCTGTAAACCAACTTCTTACTATGAAGTACCCACAGTTACATAAGTTTCTACATATTACATATGTAGTATGCAAGAAACTAAAAATCTGTGCCTTCCTTACATTTTTTTCTTTCCCAGGTTATATATTACTTATTTGTTCCTTTGTGAAGTCCATCTAACAAGGAAGCAAAATGGGAAGTTGTCAAAAACAAACATCTATATTGCAGTCGACAGGTAGTCAACTGAAATGTTGTAATGGGGAAAAGGTTGATACCATGATTACAGGGTTATTAAGAAACAAAACATTTACTATAAATACAGAACAGAATTTGCTTCAGTCCCGTATATTGAACAATCTCTTAATGCTACTGTACTTTTAATGTACACAAATAACATTAAGAAAAACTTTATTGTTATTTACAATTTAAAAAATTCATCACAGGTGTATTCCATATTCTAGTTTGTTTACATTTTTTGTTTGATATTAACATCATTTTTACTTTTGTATGATTTGTATATATTTTCCCAAAAATTCAGTCTTTCCTTGAACATATCCTTTTCCATTTTTAATTCTTTATCAATATTCAAATACACACGATTATCAGAAGTATATGGGATCCATTGTATATTCACATCTTCATCTAGTTTTGATGTTGGATTACTGGAAAAAACATGAAAATTTTATCCAATTGGGTCAGTATTCAATATGCAAAATATGAACTAATTAAGTGCAAGAAAAATAAAACAATTAAGTTTACCCAGTTTTGGCAAAGTTTGTCCACATTTTGACCACTTTTCTAATGATATTTCTTTCTAATGATTCTGGTTTTATATCAATATCCAACTGTCCGACTCTGAAGAGATATCCCAAGTCATCCATATGGCTTGCCCCTAATATGGGGAGGAATAAAATTAATAAAACAATATCAGGTATTATCATTTCAGTACCTAGTTTCAATATTACTTTTACCTTTCATAGATGAAGCATTAATAAATTTCTTGAAGATTCCTAGCTCTCCATCAAATGAAAATTTGTAATAATAGAGGGGGCTGGTGGATTTTTCAGCTAATAGTTTCATATATTTATCGATTCCACGAACAAAATTCATATCTGTGTACACCTTCAAAATAAAAGAATCCTATAAATTGAAGTTCTCTTTCTCACATTAACATTACAAGATATTCAAAAAGGCAACAAAATATCAGCAAGTGAACAGAAAAGTAATTTGTAATTTAAAATATGATGAATTTGTGGTAAACAATGTCAATACAGTAATGAGCTCATGAACTAACATCTGACAGTTCTTGAAGAGTTTCCATAGACACACTTTTCTCATCAAAGTAGAAATCTTTGATTTGCTCTGCAATTTCTTGTGACTTTTCTAGAGGCTCACAGAGGTCTTTTGGGACTAGACGTTCAAAGTCATTTGCGATTATTTCAACCAGTCGAGGTTGCTTGATGATTCCTAAAATAAGGGAATATTATTAGCATTCTTTTATAACTACTAATAATCAATTGCAATATTTCTAAAAAATCAAGGATGAAATAAATGCATTCGTTTTTCTTTGAGTTAACAAATTAAAGTGAGATATAAGAAATAATGTCAATATATTTATTCATTTGTAATAAAGATATGGGGATTTCAAATAAAAGTAAAATTAAAAGTGCAAGCTAGAAATAAAGCAAATATACAATAATAGTAGGAATTGGCTGAACATTCTTAACTTTACAAATCATTGCTTTAAAAGTGAAAATATAATTTTCATTGGAACCCACTTAAGTTCATCTAGCACTGATGACAATAGTATGATATATTATTTTATTATGAAACAAAATTTCACATTCGCAATAAAAAGGAGAGAAAATGATAATCATCTCAGAAATGCTTCAGTAAGTTAATTGGTTGGGCAATTGGATAATCAAAGTAGCATGCATTGTGTGGACTGAAGAATTTCAATAAACTAATACTGCAAAAAAAATTAAGAGGGTACATGCTAAGTACGGGATCAGAAGTTGAAGATAATGGTTTAGATGACATGAAAAAGATACATTGTATGTACTTCAGGAGGTGAATATTCTACTCTAAAATTTCAGAAAAAATCTTTGACATAATTTTACCAGACAGTTCTAGAATGCCTTCATCAGATGTGACTCCAGCTAAATAAGGAACGTCATGATATTTTCCTTTTTGGAGCAACTCCTCTGGATTTCCTGGTAAAAAGCATGGTTTCTCAGGTAATGCATTTTCAGGGATGGGATTGAATGATAACACATCTCCTCGTCGTCTTTCCTAGAAAACAATGCAAATCTAATTAATAAATTGTCACTACATTTTGACTGTTAGGAAATCCAATTATACAGGAAATATGTTATGGAGTACTTTGATTAAAAACAACTGGCTAAAAATGAGAAGAGTGAGACCGAATCAAAAAAAAAAGGGTGACTAATTTCTTCAACAATGTGAAGTATTGATTTATAAAGGTCTTAAACTAATTTAATATTCTTGACATTAATCCTTAGGTTTTGAAACATTTAAAGAAGCTATATTTTTAATATTCACTCCATTGCTGTTGCAGAATGTGAATAAAAAAAATAAATAAAAAAAGTGAATGTGAAAATTCAGAGTGAATTAAATCTTAATACAATAATGATATGTGATTTTTAAAATGTAGGACCTTGATATTTGTTTTCCAAAGAAGATAATGGAAATTAATACCTCTTTTGAGATTGTCTTTGCAGAACCTTCAACTAAATCTTTAGGCGACACTTTCTTCAAGAAATTAATCAGCTCACTTGCATCGGAAGTCTTACAGCCAAGTAGCTCACCGAGCTTGAATGCTCTGGTTCTTAAAGAGGAAGATGTCATTCCCCATGGATTAAAAACTGAGCCACTTTGAGCAATAGCTTTGTGAAATAAGCCTGAAACAATTAGTTAAATATTTGCAGTAATAAATTAAACCCACATAAAACAACAACTTTACATCAATATTTGGGGGCTCCACAGATCCGTTTTACATGAGAGCAGTTGAACAAATGCCAGGACACCAAACAACCAAAACTACATACTTAGGTAAGAAATATCTCCAAATTACACAGAATGTAGGAAAAGACAAAATAAATTTTTTATATAAAATAATATAATTATGACTGTTAATATTCAATTTCATACATTCATATTTAAGACCCTTTTTTTTCAATAGATACCAAGAAGAAAAGAACTAACTATTTAAACTAAATATATAAATATACATCAGCTCAAGTGAATCTTAAAATATGTACCATGAAATTAATTCAAACACAATTTCAGTTTTAGCATAGCCTTCAAAAATAAATCACACTACCTTTTGACATTGGTGACATCATATGCAATTGTACACATGAAGCTCCAGCACTTTCTCCGAATAATGTGATGTTATCGGGATCACCACCAAATTGAGCAATATTGTCTTTCACCCATAACAAGGCGGCTACCTGATCTCTCAAGCCCATATTGCCAGGGTAAGACTCATCTTCTAAACTCAGAAAGCCTAAAAAGAAAATATATTAAGAGTTCAGTCACATTTATACGATTTTCTTTAACGTTTAGGTAAGTTTTATTAAGAGTATGTCGCCTCTATAGCACTTTTTTTTGCCAACACAAATAAATTGAATGATAGTATTGATCATTTTAAAGATTGTAAATGTTTTTTCTTCCAAAATTGGAATTATACAGATTATTTGGGGAGGAAACATTGAAAATCCAAAAATAAGCTCTAAAGACAATTTTAAACATATTTTGTCTAATAAACTACTTGGATTTTCCAAATGGCCACAATACGCACTTAAAAGTTTGCTTGAAAAAATTATTTCTAGGCAAAAATTTGCATTCCTGAAGCATACAAATACTTCTAAAACATTTACATTGTTTACAATTTACCAAAAATTTGTTCAGAAAGAAAAATTGACCAAAAAAAAAAAGCAGTCAAATTGTGTAAATTGAGTGCTTTGTTATTTCTGAGTTAATTATTCTTTCTGAGCAAAAATATTCTTTTCTTTTGTAAATAATAAACAATGTAGATGTGTCTGGAGTGTTTATATGCTTCTGCAATGCAAATTTTGTATAGAAAGTATTTTTTTAAACCAACTTTAGAATGCTAATTAAGGCTTGGCCATTCGGAATATCCAAGTAGTTTATTTGACAAAATATGCTTAAAATTGTCCTAAGAGCTTATTTTCAGATTTTTGACGTTTTGTCCCGAACAGCCTGTATATCATTAACATATTTACACTCTTTCATATTAGGACCTAGTCATTTAATGTAAATGAAACCTGCCTTACATAGCAAAGATTAACCCCCAGGTAAATTCTTAAAGTGCATTAACTCTCATTTGGGAAGAGAGAACCAGAACTGACCTAATGCTCCAAGTCGGTAATTCATTGTAACAACTACAACACCACTTTCAACAAGATAATCTGGACCATACATATCAGTATTTCCAGAGCCTATGTAATATCCTCCACCGTGGATCCATACCATCACAGGTTTCTTCGTTGACTCCTCTTTTGTGGGCAACTTGAAACAAATAGAACAATGATTTTAATTTGACAATATTACTCATTAATGTTAAGAAGTATACCAACAGAAAATAGTTCTATGAAACAAAATGTATAACTTTTAGAATAAAGAAAACAAGGTTCGTTTAAATATCATTTCATTTTTGTATTGTAAGATACCAGTATTTTATGCAAACACAAAAATAAAGCAAGTATATTAAGCAAAATTATTATCTATTGCATACTGACTTAAATCGATGTGAGTGACCAAATGTCAACTTCAATAAATTGCCTAGTTATTCGTTTTCTTATCAGTAAATTATTTATTCACAGTTAGAAGTAATTATGAATGTTTAAAATGGAGAAAAAAAATAATAATTTATTCCATCGTCGATATGTATGAGTAAGAAGAAACCGGTACTTACTTGCGATGTATAAACATTAAGGAATAGACAGTCCTCATCCCCTCGGAACCCGAGTCCTTGAATCCAGTCTCTATGGGGACAAACAGACCCTTCTTGGAGAGCATCTTTTACTCCCTGCCATGACTCTGGAGGCTGTGGGGGCTGGAAATATAAATTTGTTTATTCAATTAGCAGGAGAGATGTCTGGATCTAAAATTCTTAATTAGTAGCAAAATAAGATGTTTCCAAAAGCTCTGAATGTAGTGAAGTTGTATGGGTATTACATCACAAATACCGTGCACAGACTTGTTTCTCAGCAGTCGTGTATTCAGTAGTTTCAAAAAAAGTGTCATTCGATTTTTTAAGTTGTAAGAGGGGGGGGGGTCGAATATGAAATTTGTTTGCCAATGAATACGTTGGGAGAAATATAATGAAGTTACACGTGATCTTTATTCGTGGTTGACAACTCATCGTACACCTTTAGCACTATACGAAATATATCTGTGACAAAACGTGAACGTGCGAAACAACAGAGCAAGATAAGTTGCACACCAATCAAGATTGTTGGATTGATTTATTATTTCGCGTTTCCTGGCGCGCGAACTGCTATGGTCATTTTGGCCGTTGTGGAATGCATGATTTTATTTCAAGAGGTGGAGGTGTTTTTTCTCCGTTGGACGGCAAGATCCGGTACCTACCTGAACGTCGGGTAACAGTAAACGCATATTTCGTACCAGCGGGGAACCGCTCCATCGCGACAAGTTGTAAGCTCCGTTGTCTTCCGACATGGGTGGCAGTGTAGTGCGTGTAAGTATGAGTGTACAGGATGAGGATAGAACAAGGAAGACACAAGAAAGATCGTGCGAGGTCCGTGGCTCGTTTCTTAGGGCACTACTCCGGTATTCGCCTGGTGTTGGTTAGTGAAACCACGGAAAACTACCAATCTGACCAGCAGGCCTCTACAATTCTACTCCAGACAGCGGCTGAATTCGACCAGTTCTCCAATTCAAATAGAGTGATTACTGGCGTTCGATTATCTGGGACGCGGATATTCAATCGGGAGCTCCATTACCAAAAATGAAGTCGTAACCAATATCCTGCCAAATAACTGCCTACCTAGTGTCGAAAATCCAACAAACGTTGAGGTTCGAACACTAAGGTCGTCTTTCAGAAGCCTTCAAGTGACATCATTTGATGCCCTGAGCCACCTTAGCCGGTGCCTACCAATCAGAAACAAATTCCAAAAATAAATCAGTTCGTAGAACGTGCTTAGAAACTTCTATTTCAAAGTAGTAACAGTTTTCTCAGTGTACAGAGTCTTTATTTTATCTCGCAATCCACGTATGAAAGCACTTGCTCTTGTGGTAATCTGGCAACCGCCTATCTTTGCCAACAGTGAAGACTCAGCATCGGCTTAGGTGGTTCAGGGTATCAATAGATGTCACGGCAGTGCCTGAGATTTCTTATGTCTTACTTAAGCATAAGCACAATACCTTGCAAGATTTTAACTTAACTTCTTACGTGTTATGCTTATGCGAACGCATTGTGAATGAGTACGCTTATGGACGTAGTTCTAACTTTTATGTTAACGCCATGCTAACGCCATGCCTAAGCAGGATGCACGCGTGGTCCGAGTTGGCGTATACGCGAAAAAAATCTATGTTCTTGGCTCTTCCTTCAAGTTAATATACACATTAAGATGAAGTTAATGATTAATTTGCACATGAAGAAGCAAAGACAAAATTGTTTTGAGATGAAAAAAGAAAAATAATTTGAAGAGAGGCATACTGTTTACATACCAATATACTACGAATGCATTCCACGAATTCGTTAAATACACTACCGTTTATGAAGTATAGAGAAAGTATAGTAATGCTCGTGGCACTGAGTGAAGTCGCTTGCCTTACACCAAGAAGGTTCGAATTCTACTCCCGGACAATTCCATGTTAAATTTAAAAAAATAATAATAAAAGTGAGTTTGCCTGCTTCACAGGGACTAGTCCAACCTCTCTAAAGCGTCCTAAACCACACCAGTATCCTAAGTCCTTTCCAATTCTGGCCACTGGGTAGTGTCGCAGGAGCGCGTGTGAGAGGCACGTACGCGGAGATTCTACCTGGCGGTCCTACTGACAACTCCGGACCGGACTTACGGACCATAGTATAATTAACGGAGGATTGCACCATAATATCATTATTAACGGAGGATTACTCCAGAAACCCGTTCTACGCCAAGTTCTTGGCACAGGAAGGAACGTTGTCACGGAAAAGTGAGAGACTCCAAAAAAGATCTCCAGTGAAATGGGATTTATTAAGTCCCGAAGCGCGTGAATGGATGTTCATTTTTATATTAATTTTATATTGAAATACCCTCTGTGGTTGATACCTTCTCAATCCTTAATTAACATTATGGATTAGCACAATACATCTGCTGCCACCACGGAATTCAACAGTGTTGATTTTTCTAAACGCCAGAAGCCAGTCATGAGCGTGGGAGGGGGGTGCCTACCTCGAAGCGCAGGTCGCCGAGCGGTGGGCGCGCGTAGGGCACGCCCTGGAAGCTGAAGTAGGCGCCGCCGAACTTGGCGGTGGCGCGCCGGCCGCGCAGCACGCCCTGCTGCACCCGCACCGTGGGCTCCGCCCCCGCCCCCGCGCCCGCGCCCGCGCCCTGCTGCATCACCGCCTGGCCCGTGTGCACGCAGCGCCGCGCCTAGGACACGCGCGGGGCACAGCTGCATATGGGGGACACACGTACAAAACGTACAAACGTACAAACCTTTTTTTAAATGCACTTTATGATGTATGTTCTAGGTCAGGGTTGTCCAACTGGCTTGTGTGAGTGATTATGTTAAGTGCATAGAACGCGAAGGGAAAGGTGAGAGAGGATGACTTAAAAATGAAAAAAAGAAGAAGATAAGAGAGACATTATAAAGAACTTTTAAAATGAGTATAAAATATTTTTTATTACTAATGGGAGTCCAAAGTGGTACTTAGATTTAGTTATTACTATTAATTACCTCAGCGGTTGACGCGTCCGGAAGTAGCAATCAAAGAATTGAATCGCAACTACGCTATTATTTTTTGCTCTTGGTCGCTCAAAGTATTCGTGTCAAATTTGAGAGAAATCTATCCTCTGCTTTATGGTAATACACATATTCTAATTTTTTAACAGATAAATAACGGGGGCAGTTAGCTTGCCAAAAACTCCGCTGAACAGAGACTGACGGCAGGTATACCTCTGACGACAGTTCGAAATGCAAACACTTTGATAACATATATTCCAATTTCAACCACGAAGAACAAGCTTCTCTGAAAATAATAATGTCTTGCGTTTTAATACCTCCTTCAATCCGATCCGAAATAAAATAAAACTTCTTAAAATAAAATAAATTTTCGAATTAGTGGAAGTTACGTGGCGGTTTTGTTTTGAGAGGATCATGCTTTGCAAAGTGTTATCGTTTTTATCAGCCGTTATCTGTTTTCTCCTTCGCAATGTTTTGCAAAGTATACCTAAGTTACCAGAATCTCTCGTAGAGTAGTCGACAATTTTATCAACATATCAACTCACTCGTTACTATCGATTTCTTCACACAATGTCATTTAATCCCGGAAGATGGTCGCAAGATGATCGAAATTTGAAACTGCTACCCTTCACGCACTGTCACCTATACAGCAGAGATGATATAACTTTTCCAATACTGGACGGAGATGACACGATTGAAAAAAGTACTAAGCAATACCATACTTTCACGAAGATATGTCTTCACGACGATATCACGAAACTATTTATATTTCTGCTGATAATGAGCAACATTCTGACAGAAACGTTCTAATAAGTCTTGGCGAGCTATAAGCGGGACGAAAGTACAGTAAGAAACCCAGGTTAATTTGGGGCGAACGAAATCCAACTTCTTCTAATTTTCTTCCAGGTGTTCGTGTTTGCTCGTGTCATGAATATCCACGCGCTTAACCCTGTTCGGAGTAATGTCTTCTTCAGGGCAGAAAATGACGCGCACTGTCTCAAAAATGGCCTACCCTTGCCCAGACTATGGCAACCCAGGAGAAGGGATATGCAGTCTGACGACCACCGAACTGAGGAAATAAACCACGTGGTTAATCCGGTAGGGCAAAATTAGGCGTTTTTGTGCGCCTTGGGATACGGTTAAAACACAGACACGTTAATACAGACGATGGAAGCAGTCCCAAACCGCGAGCGTCTACGAGCCCCTTAACCAGCGCAGCCATATGGAGTCCGTGTACTGAGAAGTTAGTTAGTGTAGTAGAAGAGAAGTTAGAAGAAGGAACCAGTGTGACAGATTGAAAACCAAAAGGAAGTCTTGCTGAATGACAACATCGCAAGAGATTGTGTCTGAGGCATCTACAAGCGAGCCAACTTCAAACGAATGCATTAACGAGTTGAGCACATGGACATACCTTGCAGTTATGCTTTTAGTGGTTGGCAAGAAGTAGCTTTCAAAACAGTCCCATCTTAGTTGTTTCATTTTATTTTTTTCTTAGGGCTTTTTCTAGCAGATAGACAATTACTCTTACGTCCCGATGGGACGCATATTCGACAATACTCTAGACACCAACACAATCGCGAGCTCCTCTGATCTGGATTGCGTGGTCAGTAGAACGCGAGGCCCTCCGCGACAACACATGCGCGAGAGACAAGGTACAATCCTGCCCAAGGCGGGACTCAAACCCGCGACCTTCGGACCGAAGAGCTGAGTCAGTATATGCCCTTAGCCACCTTGGATTCAGAGGAATCTCTGCGTAACAGGTGGCCTTGAAACCCGTTCCCTGCGTACGCTGCGAGTCGTCAAAGCACGCGCTGTCTTTTCCCAACATGCGAGGGCGTCCTGAACGCTGTTCTCCCCATCGATCTCGCAGCTAGTGTCTGGCCAGTGTGGCCGTCTGCGCGAGCGCATACTCACGTGGTTGGAGCGGCGGGGCGCGCGCAGCACACTGGCTGCCCGGCGGCTCGCTTCCCGCGCCCACATGCCGTTTCCGCCCCGCTCCCCGCTCCCCGCTCCCCGCTCCTGCCCCCGCCCTGCGCGCGCTTTCTCTCTCCGCACCGGCCACGCGCCGCTGTCGGTGCCGTTCGCCTGCCGGACCAGCCGCGCCGGCAAGTGGAGCGGAGCTGCGGGCCGAAGAGAAAGAGTCAGGCTGCGACGTGGCAGGTTTTACTTCTCCCCCTTATACCACACAACAGGCAGGGAAACTATTGGAATCACCCTCACAATGAGTCACCTTCAGAATACTAATCATATAGATATTTTATCCGTCAGATAAAAGAACCTGTTTTTTTTGCGTTTCACCAAGGTCTTTCTCGTTAAAATATCTGACATATCTTTCTCATATATAATATAATAATAACAACATTATTATTATTATTATTATTATTATTATTATTATTATCTGTGATTGGATTTTTTATTTTTGATAAATTTGTATCTATAGTTCTATTTTTTTGGTAAAAATATCTGCTTAATTTAACATGTTTTGACAAGGTTTTAACAAGTTGGCAAGTCTACTTTTATAGTTTTTACTTACTACTTATATGTTTTTTCACTTATACCTGATATTTTAATGGATTTCATTTCTTATTTCTACGTAACTTTTATTTTTGATTCTTTTATTTTATTCACTATCTTCAAAATTTGTTGATTTTTTTCCATATGGATCATGTCAATTAGGCCTATCTAACATATGTTGATGAGAATAATTAGCACATCGAATTGGTGTGTTGGGTTCTTTTGAAGAAAAAAATCATTGATTGTTAAAAAAGAAAAGGATACTTGTGTATAAATAATTTATTATGAAATATTTCATAAAGATAGTTCACAAGACAGTCACTGTGTAGAATAGGCTCCACTCAGCATAAAACTGTTTTCTTGCAAATTATATTTTTGAGACGTCACTTCTCTTAAACAACGGCGAAATGTATGTTACATATTACCAGGTGATTGTATGGGAACATGTGTGCAATCTATTGCTGCGAGGACTTTAGAAAATCTAGTAATTTCATTAAAATATTTTTAGGTGATTTCTATATTCCTTGGAAACTTAACGAACTCAGTAAATTTGACACAGAAGCACTTTATCTGGCACCGGTGAAACAGGACCTTAAACTCGCAAACATGTCAGAATTAAGGTCGATCAGTGCTCTTCCAAAGATCGCTGAAATTGGTGCAGGTGAAGGTACATGAAATTTTGTATCTGATAATCGATTTGTATATACGGATGATTGCATGGACGTTTTAAACAATCATTTTTTCATTAGCTTTCGTCGTTACAGAAAAGTGATGGACCAGTCTGGATGTAATTTATACAAAACAAGTGATGCTTCAACAATACATACTTTCTCGCGATATTGTTAATGGTTATGGAATATTGTAATATGAAAATTTCTGTCAGACACTTCAACTACCATTTTAAAAATACTTAAAAAACCTAAGCGAGAAAAATGCAATTAAAAAAATACAAACTTTTAAACCAAAACGGCATTCTGCTATTGAATTCGGTGTATTCTCAACGCGCGTAGTGTTGTTTAGCCGTAAATAAAATTATATTAATGTTTACCAACAGCTGCCGTCATTGTAGCCTTCTGATACCAGTGCATTTTAAGATAGAGTTAATGATTACATAATATTAATTTTTTTTTCACATTTCGAATGACATCCAAGCTCTTTTCACTTTTCAGTAATACAAAATTTAAATCCACTATGCGCATCCACTAATTCCAGGTTGTCGATACCACTTTCTTTCACAAGAAACACTAGTTGACAATAATATATAATTCTGTGCACTTCACGCCGAATCCTGACGTTCCTATTGTTAGATTGGATGTGCATAACCAGAGTGGCCTGATAGCTAAATCGTGAATCTCAAATTATCAGACATTAAATAACAGTTTTAAAAAAATATTTTTAAACTGTTATATTCATTTAAAACAGAAAATTATGATTAAAACGATAATTAAATTTTAATTAAGTAAATTAAAATAAAAATAAAAGTCGGTAACATTGCGCGCGTATCCAAACAAGATATTTATGACGACTCAGTATGACTACCTACCAACAAAGTTCATCAAAAACGATGGAGACTTTTTGAGAGAAAAATTGTTGAAACAAAAATTAAAAGTTAACTACATTTCACACAAAATTACGCGAAAAATATTCAAATTTGCGAAAAATAGTAGATTACCTTATTTCAAAATATATCTTTTAAGGACATAGTTTATTAACGGAAAAATCTCTATATTTAATATTTTTTTAGAATTTTTGACATTTTCGCAAAATCAGTTTACAACTAAAATATTAAAGATAGAGAATTTTTCCCTTAATAAAATCTGTTCCTTTAAAGATAGATTTCAAAATAAGGTAATGTACAATTTTTCGAAAATTTGAGTATTTTTCGCGTGAAATAGAGGCAACGTTTAATTTCTATTTAAACATTTTTTTCTCAAAAAGGCTCCAACATTTTTGATGAAATTTGTTGGTGGGTAGTCATAATGAGTAATAAAATAATTCGAAGAAAAATTATGGTATAAATAGTATTACATAATCATAACTAATGGCGAGAAAGTACGTGCTGTCTTAGCACCATTATTTCGCACAGCATTACAGAACTCTCTACCATGGTAGCGGTTGCGAGTAAGTAAAAATGACGCTT